TATGCTAAATGCCTGAGATGTAGAAATAATTAAAACACAGCCCTTCAGACCTGGCCAGTTTGGCTCAGCAGTTGAGCGTCAGCCTGCGGACCAGAGAGGTCCTGGTTCGGTTCCTGCTGGGGGCACGTACCACAAAAAAAAAAAAAATAAATAAAATAAAACACAGCCCTTTTTTCTCAGAGCTTGCTACTGTGTGGAGAAACAGCTGGGAAAAAATAGAAAAGTAGTTATTTCCACATAAAAGAATCAACACTTGAAAATGCTCCTCTCATTATAACTAACACACATACACAAGCACATGAATGTATAGCTGTGTTTTATTTGTTTATACCAATGAGATCATATACATATGAATTAATACATATTGTCATTAAATAATCGATCAGAAATATCTTTATAAATCAGTATAGTGCTACCTCATTCTTTTTGATGGCTACATAATGTGAATGTGTCATAATCCATTCCCCTATTATTTAGGTTGTTATCCTAAATCTCCAAGGCTACAATTAACCCCTATCTTTATACACCCTTGCTAGCTTTTCTATCACAGTCTTCAAAATGGGATTGCTAAATATGGTTGCTCTTGTATTTTAAAACTGTCAAGTATTTTTTGCTTCCAAAAAACAATTGCACTGCCTGGCTGGTGTGGCTCAGTGATTGAGCATCGACTCATGCGCCAAGAGGTTGCCAGTTCAATTCTAGGTTAGGGCACATGCCAAGGTGTGGGCCAACTCCCTGGTGGGGGCATGCAGGAGGTGGCCAACCAATGTTCTCTCTCATCGATGTTTCTCTCTCTCTCTCCAAAAATCAATAAAGAAAAAAATAATTGCACCAACAATTTGAATAACTATTTCCTCACACTTTTACCAACATTGTATATTATCAATTCTGTACATTATTAAACTTGTAATTCAATGCTAATACTTTTGTTTTAAAATTTTACATTTCCTAAATTACTAGTGAGATTGTCTACCTTTTAATATATTCATTGTCTATTATTCTGTGTTCTTTATAATATTAGCCTTTTATATATCGCAAATATTTTTTTTTGTTTTGACTTATCTTTATTCTTGAATGTATTACAGATGTTCCCCCTTTTTTCCCCATTGACCCCCCTCCTCCCCAATCCCACCCCACTTCTGCCTTCCCCACACTATTGTCAATGTTCATTGTTTATGTATATATGCATAGAAGTTCTTCGGTTTATCTCATCCCGCCCTCCCTCCCCCCTTCCCTTGGAGGTTCATCAGTCTAACAACCAATCAGTACTTCTTAATTCCTTCTTTTTCACCCAACCCCAACCCCCACCCAAGCAACAAAAAGTTCTTTGTATCAATGAGTCTGTTTCTGTTCTGCTTGCTCATTTTGTTTATAGATTCAATTGTTGATAGATATGTATTAATTGTCATTTTATTGCTCATATTTTTGTTCTTCTTTGCCTTCAAGAAGACCCTTCAACATTTCATATAATACTGTTTTGGTGGTGGTGAATTCTTTTAGCTTTTTCTTGTCTGGGAAATTGCCAGGAACCAGCTGGAGAGCAGAATCCCTGAGTTCAAGCATTGGGAATGAAGACAGACACGGATATGGGATCAGGAGGACTGTCCTCAGCTTCAATATGCTTTATTACATGCCTTTTATACCTTACAGCAAAAGTTTAGTGATGTAAGAAAATAGGATCTTCTTGATATAATACCCAGGGCTACAACAATGCTATATAGAATTAGTTTGCCTTGTGGATAAGGGGAGCACCCAGGAACACCCAGGTCCACCCAGGAACATCCAGTCTGTTATCTCAGGTATTTGAAGGTACATTGGGTCACACTTAGCCCCAAGCTGCACAAACACAATGCAAGCCTAATTCCTTGAGATTGTGGGGGAGGTTGAGTCTCTGACTCAAGACCTCCAGGTTCTGTGAACTCTGTCAGACAGACACGTAGCCAGCTCCCAACAGGAAACTCTTGATATGTCCATCGATTCTAAATGATAGTTTTGTAGGATAGAGCATTTTTGGTTGTAGGTCGTTGCTTTTCATCACTTTGATATCTCTTGCCACTCCTTTCTGGCCTGCAAAGTTTCTTTTGAAAAATCGACTGACAGTCTTATGGGAGCTCCTTTGTAGGTAACTAACTGTTTTTCTCTTGCTGCTTTTAAGATTCTCTCTTTGTCTTTAACCTTTGGCATTTTTTGATGATGTGTCTTGGTGTGGACCTCTTGGGGTTTATCTTATTTGGGACTCTCTGTGCTTCCTGGACTTGTATGTCTGTTTCCTTCACCAGGTTAGGGAAATTTTCTGTAATTATTGTTTCAAATAGGTTTTCAATTTCTTGCTCTCTCTCTTCCTCTTCTGGCAACCCTATGATGTGAATGCTGGCATGCCTGAAGTTGTCTCAGAGGCTCCTTACACTATCCTCGATTTTTTGGATTCTCTTTTCTTTTTGCTATTCTGATTGAGTGTTTTTTGCTTCCTTATATTCCAAATTGATGGCTTGCTTCTTGGCTTTACCTATTCTACTATTGATTCCCTGTAAATTATTCTTTTTTTTTATCCTCATCCAAGGACATTTTTCCAGTTTTTGTTCAGATAGAGTGGGAGGAAGAGAGAGAGAGAGAAACATCGATGTGAAAGGGACACATCGAGTGGTTGCCACCTGCACAACCCAACCAGGGCCGGGAACAAACTGCAACCGAGGTACATGCCCTTAGTGGGAACCGAACCCGGGTCTCTCGAGACCGCAGGCCAACGCTCTAACCGCTGAGCCAAACCTGCCAGGGAGTAAATTATTCTTTATTTCAGTGCATACTTTGTTTCTGACTGGTCCTTTTTTATGTTGTTGATGTTCTCACTAAGTTCCTTGGAGGTCTCCTTAAGTTTCTTGAAGGTCTCACTAAGTCCCTTGGATGTCTCACCAAGTTCCTTGAGCAACCTTATAACCTGTTTTCTGAACTCTCCATCTGAAGAATTGTTTATCTCCATTTTGTAAAACAGAATTTGTACATACTTGTTCTCATCTATCTGCGAAGCTGAAGCAGGTAGCAGGGATCTAGTTCACTGGTAAACAGGCGCATTCACACACTCCAGGAAACTGCGGCCAAGCAGACTTAATCCTCCAAAAGGACAGGAAAACTTTCCCTGGGGTACTAAAACTATTGCATATATTTTTCTCAGTCATTTGTATTTTAATTTTGTTTATTGTGGTTTTGTAGAACTGAAGTTTTTTCATCTTCATATAATATCTGTTACTTTTTTTCTTTATGGCTTTTCATTTTTTATATTTTGCTTAGGAAGGACTTCTCTGCTCTAAAATTATAAAGATAACCTTCCATAATAAAAGATAACCTTTCACCTAACACTTTTTATGAATTTAAAAATTGTTTACTTATTTAAATCTAGTTGAATTAATTTTTGTGGCAGAGAGGCAAGGAGCTGCTTTCCCCATTCTGGCACTGACCAGTGAACAAACAATTTTCCTGATATAATTTTTTCTAATCTAGAAGATAACTCTGAAAGGTAAGTTCAGTCCCACCTGAACCACATAAACTAAGTGATTCTTACTACTGAGTCAGAATATATGCTGAACAGAGCAAAAGCATTGGTATTATTAGTGCTATCATCCTAGATATAATTATAAGGGATTCTACAAGTACTATCAGGAACTCTATTAGGAAGCTCTCTAATTGATGAGATTTTTAGTAAACAATTTTGTGTTAATATGTTTTTTTCTACCTGGTTCTCTTTATGTGTGTGATACCTGGGACAAAAATATACATATTTTATAAACAGGTTGAAATAGTAGAAAAGGAGGGAAAAGATGTTGAATTGTATGAAAGTTTATTTCTATTGGCTAGCTAGCCCAATAAGCATTGCCAATCCCCTCTCCCTGGCCTGCCTCCACAATTGGAAAAATTTATATACTTGATTTCCAGTCTCTTAGTCAACCAGGGTGGCCATGTGTCACAGTTCTGGCCAAAGGGTATAAGGGTAAGTCTTTTACTTTCCCAAAAGCACAGATGTATCTGGCTCCACTCCTTCCCCCTTTTCCTTCTCTGAACATGAATGTGATATCTGAAGATGCAGCAGCCATCCTGTGTCTAGGAGATAACCAGTTATCCTGCCAAGGGATGGAGTGGAAACAGAAAGAGCCCGAGTCTTCGATGACAGTGGTAAACCCCTACACCAAGCCTGGCCTGGAGACTTCTTGTGATATGAGATAATTATATATCATTATTCTTATGTTACTGTTAGACAGGTTTCTTGTACCAGAAAGTATTTTGAATTGTACACATGGTGTGAGCCCAATATTCTGAAAAAAGTGAATAAAACAATTTCAATATTTCTTACTAGCCCTGGCCAGTTTGGCCTGCGGACCAAAGAGTCCCGGGTTCGGTTCCTGTTAAGGGTACATACCTTGGTTGCAGTTTGTCCCCGGCCCTGGATGGGGTTGTGTGGGTGGCAACCAGTCGATGCGTCTCTCTCACATTGATGTTTGTCTCTCTCTTTTCCCCCCTCTCTCCTTTCCACTCTATCTGAAGATAAATACAAAAATGTCCTTGGGTGAGAATAAAAAAAAAATTCTTACTAATGCAATTTATAAATTTATCATAAGTTGCTTTCTAGGGATTGCTTTCTATAGATTAAAAACTCACAAAGAGCCATGGCTGTGTGGCTCAGCTGGCTGTCCTGGTCAGGGTAAATACCTAGGTTGTGGATTCAATTCCTGGTCAGGGCTAATACGGGAGGCAACCTATCGATGTTTCTCTCATATTTTGATGCTTTTCTCTCTCTTCCTCTCTCTCTAAAATCAATAAGCATGTCCTTGGGTGAAGATTAAAAAATAAAACAAACTCACAAAGAAACAATTTAAAATAGCAGAATTTATTTTAATATAATGATATATATGTTTGCATATATACTATTTAAAAAATAAGCATGTAAACTATAATCATTATAAAACATAAATCAGCCTTAATTTAATATTATCAGAGTAAAAGAGCATGTATAGAAGTCAGTCTAACATTGTTGCATTTGCTTATTAAAGTTAGAATACATAAAATATTTAGCATATTGTATTTTATCTTATTTCAGTTTTCATCATTAGGTATAAATACCCTTAGGAATGTGCCAACTTATAATTTACATTCAAATAACCAAAACCCATTAACTGTTATTAAAGTACAACTAGCCTAAATTAAAACCCTGAGGAATTAAAATATTTTTTACACAATAGTTATGGTTAAGTGCAATTCCATGTCTGTACTACTTTATTTAAGGTCATACTTGGTAAGGCATAATAAAAATAAAATCTACATAAATTACAATCTAAATCTACATTTTATTTCTTGCTACATAGTTGTTTTATTTCCCCCAAAAGTAGTTTTTGCATTGCATGTCATTCTGGACCTCTTCACCACCTGCTGGCTTATTTGCTTTATACACAATAGTTAAGATTTGTACACATTAAGCTGAGCTATTTGATATGTTGGTTCAGACAAAACACACCCGAAGAACTACATATTAGAGAGTTCATGTCCGTGTTCAACCATGGCCTGCACAAACTGCTTGAAGACTCGATCCATGTAAGTGGATTGCCTTGGCCAGATCCCCTCCAAAAAACCAATATGGCCTCCATAAGAAGTAAGGACCAAAGCAACATTAGGATTTTGCTTAGCAGTTTCTATTGGAATAGCTTGGGGAAAAAGGGGTGGGGGATAAGAGAGGGAAGGAGAGAGAAAATATATAATTATTACCAATTTTTCGATAAAAGGAAATAAGAAAAAGTGTGTGTCTTTATCATTTCTAATCATTATTAACAAAACACCATTAAACAAATATTTGTAATAAGTAAGGCTAATAGAATAAATCTGACTAATTTATATTAACCATCTATATTCTTTTGTTAAAAATGTTTTTGTTGATTTTCTAGAGAGAAAAAGGGCAGAGGAGAGAGAGAGAGAGAGAGACATGGATATGAGAGGGAAACATCGCCTGGGGTTCAAACCCAAAACCTGGAAATGCACCTTGACCGGGAATTGAACTGGTGACGTTTCAGTGCACAGGATGACATTCAACCAACCTAGCCTCACTGGCCAGGGTATATTCTTATAATAGTTCATGCTTATGATTATGTATTGGGCCATCATTTTTGAAAGAATCAATCCAAGTGTTTAATCATAATACAAAAGAACAGGTCCAGTATTATTATGAGAAATTAAAAGATATTTCAAGGAATGGTAAATACTTGCATTATGCTATAAGAGTCTCACTTAGGTGTTTTTTTTTTCCTCACTCGAGGACATTTTCCCATTTTTTGTTCAGATGGAGTGGGAGGGAGGGAGAGAGAAACACTGATGTGAAAGGGACACATCAAGTGGCTGCCACCTGCACGACCCAACTAGGGCCAGGGACAAACTGCAACCGAGGTACGTGCCCTTAGCAGGAACTGAACCCGGGTCTCTCCGGACCGCAGGCCAATGCTCTAACCGCTGAGCCAAACCAGCCAGGGCTCACTTAGGTGTTATACCAGGAAAGAAAAACAACTAATCTTATTACCTTTGTGAGAGTTATAAATTCATTATATATGACCTGGGTTAACATTAATCAAAGTTAGATTCCTGGGGATAAATGATGGCTGAATCAAGGATTTGAAATTATGCATATGATTTATATAGTAAAAACATTTATAGATAGTTAAAAAGAATGGGATAAAATACTACTCCGAGTGGTAACAGTAATTATCTTTGGATGGTAAAAAACATTGGTGATTTTTTTTTTTTTATATTCCTTCTCTGAATTTCTATTTATAGTGAGGAAAAAGAATAATTTTATTTTGAAAATATAGTCATTGTATGTAAATAGTTCACTAGTAATGAGCATCTTTTTCATATGCTCTACAAAATCTATCCTGAGTGAAAATTTACTCTAAAGGATATGAATTAAAGCTCTTCTTTTCCACCCCTCACTGTTAGAGTTCAAACAGTGAAAATGTTTTGATTTAAAATCTATAATAGATCCCAACCTGGCTTGAAAAGTGTTTTGATTTAAGATACGCTAAATCTTATCTCTCTATTTAAAATAACGTGGTTGTGCCCTGGCTGGTTTGGCTCAGCAGTTAGAGCATTGGCCTGTGGTCCAGAGAGACCCGGGTTCGGTTCCCGCTAAGGGCACGTACCTCGGTCGCAGTTTGTCCCTGGCCCTGGTTGGGGTTGTGCAAGAGGCAGTCACTAGATGTGTTCCTTTCACGTAGATGTTTCTCTCTCTCTCTCTCTTCCTCTTTCTCCCTCCCACTCTATCTGAACAAAAATGGAAAATGTCCTTGGGTGAGGATTAAAAAAAAATAACATGGTTGATGCAATACTTAGACTTTCACATCTTGAGCAGAGTCTTAGAGGTAAATGAGCTAACTAAAGGTCAGATCTCAACAACTCACGGTGCCTGGAAAAGAAGCTGACACACTATAAAGAGAACTGAGTGAGACCCTTCTAAGACAGAGCTACTACTGTGGCTAAGTTACCTGTTTAGAAGATGCTCTAAATTTGATCCCTCATAATACTCCCTAAATCAAGGTCCAGTAAGTCAAGTTCTTATCTAAAAGGGGCCCTGAACTCACATTCTTAGCCAGCTACACCTAAAAATAAACATCTATACATCTATTTTGGGATCAGGTGTGTGAGCTTAAGGGGAGGAGCAAGTGAAATGACTGATACTATTTTTGTTTTTCCTTTTTTTTTTTAATCCTCACCGGAGGACATTTTTTCCATTTTTTGTTCAGGTAGAGTGGGAGGGAGAGAGAGGAACAGAGAGAGAGAGAGAAACATAGATGTGAAAGGAACACATCGAGTGGCTGCCACCCGCACAACCGACCAGGGCCGGGGACAAACTGCAACCGAGGTATGCGCCCCTAGCGGGAACCGAACCGGGTCTCTCAGGACCGCAGGCCGACGCTCTAACCGCTGAGCCAAACCGGCCAGGGCTGTTTTTCCTTTTAACTTTATTTATTTATTTATTTTTTATCCTCACCCGAGGACATTTTTCCATTTTTTACTCAGAGCGGGAAGGAGAGAGAGGAAGAGAGAGAAACATCGATATGAAAGGGACACATCGAGTGGCCGTCACCCACACGACCCAACCAGGGCCGGGAACAAACTGCAGCCAAGGTACATGCCCTTAGCGGGAACCGAACCCGGGTCTCTGTGGACCGCAGGCTGACGCTCTAACCGCTGAGCCAAACCGGCCAGGGCTCCTTTTAACTTTACATTAAGGCTTAGATTTACAGTGCTTCATTTGCCTGTAATGACATTATTAAGAGCCCCTATTTTACACTCTGAATACACTCAGGAATTTCTGACATTGAAAGTTACAGTCATATAAGAAGAACAAAAGGCTTTCCACTTTGAGTCATGTGAAAGATGCTGGCTGCCTTCCCTCTTGGAATGCAGACAATTGCCCACTATTTCAATGTTGCAAGACTATTTTAGGGGCTTGGGAAAGGATAGGAAATAATGAGTTTAAACTGTAACCAAGTGGGTCAGGTCAAATGCTGGGAAATTTTTGTTGGTAGGAGAAGGGTTGGTGAAATAAAACAATAGATGGATAAATACCAGACTTTCTTAATTCAATGAATAAGCTAAACAGTCACTATGTAATTCAACTGATACTGAAGTTGACAATTTCATTTTCTGATTTATGGTCAAAGGCCAAAAGTTCCAGTCATCTAATGTTATTTCTGATTAATCATGAATCACACAATAAAATGCTATCTCCTAGAGAGATGATAGGCATTTTTTTTTTTTTTTTAAGATACTTTGGGGGAATTTTCTGAAAATCTGACAATACATATGTGTTATGTTTGTAGTCAGAATAATTAAAAAATTTATTTTATTTTATTTTTTTAGAGAGAGAGGAAGGGAGAGGGAGAGAGAGATACAAACATCAATGAAAAAGAAAACAATTGGCTGCATGCCTCCTATGGGGAATTGAGCCACAATCTGGGCATGTGCCCCGACTGGGAATCAAATGAGCAACCTCTTGGTGCATGGGACAATGTTCAATCCACTGAGCCACAATGACCAGGCCAGAATAATTTTTTTTAATGGAGTAGTTGGAGGAAATGTTTTTAAAGTATTTAGGGGGGAAATAGGGAGAAAAAGTTTTCTAAAAAGCTTTGTGAAATTTCATTGAAAAAATTAGAGGTCAAGTCTACTGACTTTTAAGATAGTATGATTACTTCTAATCATCTTGTATTGCTTCAATATATGAACACATGCATATATATCTTTGTTACCAATTCCATATTTCTTGAATTAAGAGAGCAAGGAAGTTAGTTTGGGCATAATTTTTTTAAAATATGGTATCCAGAAAAAAACAACAAAGACTGTTTCCTTCAAATGTGACTTTAGAGTATGAATGTGCTATACTCATTAAGATATTCAAGGATATCATGTTATAGTCTCAAGTTCTCTTCCAGATTAAAAGGGGAGAAATATTCCAAAGCATTTTATATAGGAAGAAACCCCAGGAAGAAAAGGCAAGTGATGATAATGTACTTCTGAGGCAAAGATACTGTAATATACACTGTCCGAAGAATAGTATATTTGATAAGAAGGAAAGGTTATAGAAATGAGAACAATAAAAATATTGAGTCATAATTTGTTCTCACAGTGGACTAGATAAGGATCTGTGACAACATTTAAAGTGATCTGATACATTTAGATACTAAATGCTGAGTATTTTTTGTTTATCAGAATGGGAAATGTTATAAAACTGACATTTTATTTTTCATTACTGTATTTTTTTTTTTTTTTTATCCTCACCCGAGGATATTTTTCCATTTTTTGTACAGATAGAGTGGGAGGGAGAGAGAGGAAGGGAGGGAGAGAGAGAAACATCGATGTGAAGGGACACATCGAGTGGCTGCCACCCGCACGACCGACCAGGGCCGGGGACAAACTGCAACCGAAGTACGTGCCCTTAGCGGGAACCGAACCCGGGTCTCTCCGGACCGCAGGCCGACGCTCTAACCGCTGAGCCAAACTGGCCAGGACTTTCATTACTGTATTTTTATTAAAAAGAACAACATTTTAAAACAGTTAACTCATATCAAAAAGTATATAAAGATGTTAATTTTACCATGACTGGGTGAAAAAACATCATCCACAGAATTCAGACACAACACTGGAATCCTTACTGATTTCAGTCTGCGATTTGGACTGGCATCGGTATAATAATCATCGATTGTTCGGTATCCAAACATGACCGAAGTGAATCGCGTATCAAATTCTCTGATGGATTTAGCCTGCAAAACAAAAACAGATTGTAACTATTCTTGGGATCAAAAAAGAAAATAAAAGTATTACATACAGTTTTTTTCTCCTACCTTCATAACATGGTCCATGTCAATTTGTTTAACAAACATATGCCGGTGCCTGGAACAAAAGAATTTCAAAAGGAAAAATTTAAGGTCATTCCCATCTCAAACATACCTAAAATACATAATAACACATAATTAAGTCTAGCACAGGGCGCCCAGTTGGTACTCAGTAAATATTTACTTAATCAGACATCGCAGAAATATACCGATATTAGTCCCAAAGACATTTTTTTTTAAATCCTCACCCAAGGACATTTCTACATTTATCTTCAGATAGAGAGGGAGGGAGAGAAACATCGATGTGAGAGAGACACATTGACTGGCTGCCACCCACACAACCCCAACTGGGGCTGGGGACAAACTGCAACCAAAGTACGTGCCCTTAGCAAGAACCGAAAGCGGGTCCCTCAGGTCCGTGGGCAGACGCTCTAACTGCTGGGCCAAGCCGGCCAGGGCCCAAAGACGTTTTTTTTAAAGTACTTTTTTCTTGATTGAAAATGAATAAATTAGTTCTATAATAATAAATGTAAGGGTTGTTTTCATAACAAATTAGGCTTACACACTGCTGCTATTAAATTATTTTGGCTAAAAAGGCCTTATTTAAGCCAGAAGCTTTCAATTGAATAAATTATCTGGAGATATTATTTTTAAAACTGCTATACTGAAAATAAGAATTTATATTTTTGTATACTTACTTTTAAATTCCTATTATTATTTTGATTAATCCTCACCAGAGGATATTTTTCCATTGATTTTTTTTTTTTTTAGAGAGTGGGAAGGAAGAAGGGAGGGAGAGAGAAACATCAATATGAGAGAGCTACACCAGTTGGTTGCCTCCCATATGACCCCGACTGGGGCCAGGGATGGAACCTGCAAGCCAGGTTTGTGCCCTTGACTGGAATTGAACCCGAGACCCTTCGGTCTTCGGGCCAATGCTCTAACCACAGAGCCAAACTAGCCAGGACTGTATACTTATTTTTTAAATATTGGTCATTTTGTTGTATAACCCATATTTTAATTTATTTATTATTATTTTTTCTTTATTGATATTAGAGAGAGAGAGGAGGAGAGAGATGCAAACATCGATGAGAGAGAACATCAATTGCCCATCTCCTGCATGCCCCCTACTGGGGATCAGGCTTACAACCTGGGCATGTGCCCTGACAGGGAAATGAACCAGTGACCTCTTGATGTATGGGTTGACGCTCAACCACTGAACCAAACCGACCGGGCCCCATATTAAAAAAATTTTTTTTTAATTAATTAATTTATTTTTGTTACAGATGTTTCTCCCCCCCACACACATTGATTCCTCCTTCCCTCTCCCTCCCCGCCCTGTCCCCAGCTTTGTTGTCCATGTCCATTGGTCATACATACATATAAGTTCTGTGGTTTATCTCTGCCCCAACACCCCCTCTTCTGGGGATTGTCAGCCTGTACTCCAATTACACGTCCCTGGGACTACCCCATTCCTCAGACTGTTATGTTCATTATATTCCACAAATAAGTGAGATCATATGATACTTATCTTTCTCTGTTTGGCTTGTTTCACTTAGGATAATACTTTCCAGGCCCCTCCATGTCGTCTCAAAGGATAAGAGATCTTTCTTTCTTACAGCTGCGTAGTACTCCATTGTGTATATGTACCACTGCTTTTTTACCCATTCACCTACTGATGGACATTTGGGCTGTTTCCAGATCTTAGCTATTGTAAATAGTGCTGCTATGAACATGGGGGTACATATATTCTTTCTGATTGGTATTTCAGGCTTCTTAGGGTATATTCCTAGAAGTGGGATCACTGGGTCAAATGGAAGTTCAATTTTGAATTTTTTGAGGTAACACCATATTGTTTTCCATAGTGGCTGCAACAGTCTGCATTCCCACCAGCAGTGTACTAGAGTCCCCTTTTCTCCACACTCTCGCCAACACTTGTTGTTTGATGATTTGTTGATGGCGGCCATTCTGACAGGTGTGAGGTGATACCTCATTGTTGTTTTAATTTGCATCTGTCTGATGATTAGTGATGGTGAGCATTTCTTCATATGTCTCTTAGCTATTTGTATGTCCTGTTTGGAGAGGTGTCTATTTAGTTCCTCTGCCCATTTTTTAATTGGGTTCTTTGTCTTCCTTTTGTTGAGCTGTATGAGCACTCTATATATTTGGGAAATTAACCACTTATCTGATATATCATTGGCAATTATGCTCTCCCATATAGTGGGTTGCCTTTCCATTTCGATAATTGTATCTTTTGCTGTGCAGAAGCTTTTGAGTTTGATGTAGTCCCATGTGTTCATTTTCTCCTGTTTCTGTTGCCTTAGGTGATGTATCAGTGAAAATTCTGCTGCGTATGATGTCTGAAATTTTGTTGCCTACATTTTCTTCTAGGACTTTTATGGATTTATGAGTCACATTTAAGTCTTTTATCCATTTTGAGTTTATTCTTGTGTAGGGTGTAAGTTGATGGTCTAGTTTCATTTTTTTGCAGGTAGCTGTCCAATTTTCCCAACACCATTTATTAAAGAGGCTGTCTTTACTCCACTGTATGCTCTTGCCACCTTTGTCAAATATTAATTGAGCATATTGCCTTGGGTCCATTTGTGGGTTCTCTGTTCTGTTCCACTGGTCTATATGCCTGTTCTTGTGCCAGTACCCCATATTTTAATTTAAATGACTCTCTTCACTTTTCTTACTACTGTCCCTCATTCTAGTCACCAACAGTAATTGATGATTCTTTGGTATTCTTAGCAATGTTTTATAATCAACATCCTTAATTTAACAAATAGGTTAAGTTTAATCCAATGCTTAATGTCAACTTTTGGGTAACTATGGTTTTCAATAAGTCATATACAAAATAAATTTTTGACTTTTATTTAGAGTATATTTTTAATTTATCAATTCACCTAAAAATGCATGTTAACAGTCATCAAAAAATAAACAGAAATATATCTATGTTCTTTGCTATTATGCTGTTAGAAGGTACACAAACAGTTCCAGAAAAACTAATGCAAAGCCGGTATTTTGATAATGTTAACAACTGGGGGTACTGAGAATATCCAGTTGAACTGCATTTTTCTAAACCTCACAGGGGTGGAGAAGGTCCTGCCCACAAGCCGTGTAAGGCCCTTGAAATCAATACCAGCTAACATCACACACCTCACCAAATTAGCCTGACCAAATATAGCAGGCTAATTTTTAAGTTGATAATTTTGTATAGTCTTCGAATGATATTATAAATATCTAAATGGCCCTTGAAAGAAAAAAGATTCCCCATCCCTGATTCAGAAGCATATACTTAGGGAACCATATTATTCAGCAATGAAAACACTTAATACATACATTACTTACTGTCTAGGAGAGAATTGGGTGGTACTAATAATATCAGCAACAAGTAGAAAAAACAAGGAAATAGTCATAACGTTACTCAATACTAATGTTTTCAGTCTTTTAGAATAATTTAGAACAGCGACAGAACAATGATCTTCAGTATGGGGACCCATACCCTAGGGATTATACAAGATAATCCACTGGGGTACAGAAAAAAACATTAAAACTTTTATCTCAATTTTCAGTTTATATTTAAAATCTTTTCACTTTTGTATTCATTTTAAATATAATGAATATTTGATGCAGTAGTAAATACATGTAATGATGACATAAATATACATATATTAACAGTGCTGTGCTTCAAAACTTTTTATTGTTGGGGTATGTAATCCAAAAACTTTGCAGATACCAGGTTTTAAAGATGACTCACTTATTAACTGAAGACTGGAGGCAAGTTGTCAAGTAATAATTGAAAAGCAGCCAGTTCAGTGGTTTCTCCAATGACTCTGTACAAGCAAAAGTATTCCAACCAACTGAAAAAGTTGCAGCTGCCTTCAAAGGAGTTTTTGGCCCAATTTTGCCCAGGTAATTTAAAAGCAGCATTCTAAAATGAGGAGAAATAGGAAACTCAATGAACATTTGTTACATTTCTCAAGACATCCATTGCTAACTATGAACTTTATAAACTATGGAGAGGAAAAATATAAACCCGTGTGTAAGTACTTTATCTTGGAAAAGCATGCAAGTACACTATCTTCATTCTTTACTTACATTTATTGGCTTGTTAATCTTGCAGGTGACTGTATTGTGAGTAGGACAAAACATACAGTTATTGCTTTTATGTGCATCCTTCTATGATGTAAAGCATGAGAGAACTCCATTGTAAGAGTGGTTTTTACTTTTTTTCAAAATGATATCGGGGATTTATTAAAATTTTGCAAATCCCTGCACCCCAGCCTCCAGTTGAATGTTTAATTTAGTATGTGAGGGGTGTTTTAGGCAAACTTCTTCTATAAAGGGCTACACAGTAAATGTTTTGGGCTTGGGGGAGGGGGAGCCTATAATCCAGCGGTCCTCAACCTGTGGGTCGCAACCCCTTTGGGGGCCGAACAATCCCTTTCACAGGGGGGGTTGCCTAAGACATAACAGTAGCAAAATTACAGTTATGAAGTAGCAACAAAAATAATTTTATGATTGGGGGGTTACCACAACATGAGAAACTGTATTAAAGGGTCGCGACATTAGGGAGGTTGAGAACCACTGTGTCTCTGTTGCAATTACTTAACTCTGCGATTGTAGTTTGAAAGCAGTCGTAGACAATACATAAATAAATGGACATGGCCATGTTCCCATACAACATTTTATGTAAATATCAAAATTTGAATTTCATATAATTTTCACGTCATGAAATATTCTCCTTTTGATTTTTTTCAACCATGTAAAAATAAAATAACCATTCTTAGCTCCTGGACTATATACAAAAACAGACAGCTGGCCAGATTTGGCCTGCAGCCTGTGGCTTTTCAACCCTTGGCATAGATGAAAGAGCACAGAAGAAGTGGTTTTCAAATGTGGCTGCACATTGGAATCACCAAGGGAGTTTTTAAAGCTACTAGGATGTCTGGGTCCTACCTCCAGAGATTCTGAAGAATTGGTCTGGGTGGCCATTCTGGTTGCCTACACATCCTTGTGCCAGATAGCAAGTCTCTAAAGGGCTCCCTAGTCTAGAGTTAGACTTTCTGAGTCATAGCAGAACAATTGGCCCCTAAAGTAATTAGTTTTCTCCTTCCTGTTATTTATCTTTATCTCCTATCACATATTTTATTTTTTTAAATTTTTTATTAATTAATTTTTGTTACAGATGTTTCTCCTTTTTTTCCCCTCCTATCACATATTTTCTTCCTTTCTTTTTATTCTATCAATTTTCCTGATTCTACCTTAGTTCTATTTTGGTAGAAGGAACAAGAATGAAATTTAATTGAATATCAATGTCAGAAATCTAAGTTTAACATTGTCATCTAAGAGAAAGGATGATATCCTAAATTCTGAGTGAGAGAGAAAAATGAAGAATCCATGTTTTAAGAGCTTAAAAGGCATATCAACCCCAATGTTTGGACTTTATCTGATCCCTGACTCAAACTGTAAAAATCAGCCAACTAAAAAATGGACAATTGGAGAAATGTGACACTGACTAAATATTTGATCATATTTAGGAATTACTGTTAGTTATACTGTAGGTATAATAATGGTATTGTGTGTGTTTTTTTAAAAGAGACTCTACTTACATGGAAGTAGAGAACACACAGACAAACCTCAGAGGGAAGGGGAGTAGGCAGGTGGGAAGAGATAAACCATAGAACTTTTATGCATATTTGCATAACCAATGGACACAGATAATATCTGAAGGCAGGAGGGGGGAGGGAGCAGGGAAAATGGTGTCAATGTGGGGGGGTGGGGGGATATCGGTAATACTTTCAACAATAAAGATAAATGTTTAAAACTTTTTTCAAAAAGAGACTAGCCCTGGCCAGTTTGGCTCAGCGGTTAGAGCATCGGCCTGCGGTCCAGAGAGATCCAGGTTCGGTTCCCGCTAGGGGCACGTACCTCAGTTGCAGTTTGTTCTGGCCCTGGTTGGGTTGTGCGGGTGGCGGCCACTTGATGTGTCCCTTTCACATCGATGTTTCTCTCTCTCTCTCTCTTCCTCTCTCTCCCTCTCACTCTATCTGAACAAAAAATGGAAAAATGTCCTCAGGTGAGGATAAAAAAAAAAAAGAGACTCTACCTTTTAAAAATATTTACTGGAATATTTATAAATGATGTCTGAGAATTATTTTAGAATAATCAGAGTTGGGAGGGATGGGGAGTGATACTGATAAACAAGATTATCCCAGAGTTGATAATTATTGAAGCTGGGTGATGAGTATATATGGGGGAGCATTATACTCTTCTCTTTAGTTTTATATATATTTATAAGTTTTTATATATTTCTTTTAAAAAAATGTTTATCCCTCTATACATTTCCTCCCCCACCCGAGGATCCATGTTGATACACATGGATCTAGATGATTCATTTTATATATGTTTTAAATTAATTTATTTTTGTTACAGGTGTTTCTTCTTTTTATTTTTGTTACAGGTGTTTCTTCTTTTTCCCCCATTGACACCTTCCTCCCACAGCACTGTTGTCTGTGTCCATTTGTTATGCTTATATAAGAAGAGATAAGTTCTTTGCTTTATCTCTTCCCTCCCCACCCCCTGCCCCCCTCCTCTGGGGTTTGTCAGTCTGAACCCTATTTCTATATCTCTGGGTCTATTTTGTTCAATATATTTCTTAAAGCTAGTTTACTAATTCATTGGGGAGACTGGAATCTGACTAGGTCTAGAGCAGCATGAGTTACTTGGCTCGGACTCAGTTCTGGTTCAAAGTCCCTACATGACTCCAGGCACCACAGGCTTGGAAATTACCCTAGTCTGGGGTGGGGGGTGGGGGTGGGGTTGGGCACTGGGCATAAGGATCTTGGACAGATGCTTTTGTCTGTTGCACTTCAAAAGAAAAAAAATGTGTCACGCTGTAAAACACATTCCCAAGTGGTAAACCGACTTGGGAACGTCACAGTGCTAGGCAACTAGAAAGGGTGCTTCCTTCAAACAATTTAAAAGACATTAATATTCAACCAGCTGCAAAGGCTAATGGTCAAGTTCTGCCTTCAGGCACTGAGGCTTCAATGTGACATGAATAGGCATTTCCCAGGAGCTTCTGAATAGAGAATCTGGGCCTGTTTATGTAAAGGTTGGCCTTTAAAAAGTCAAGAATTTATAAGCTTAAGGGGAAAAAGTTCAGCAGGCACCCTGTCCTTTTAGGTTCACATTATGGGGCAAGGGAAACAAAAGTGAAAAACTGCCCATTAAGCACAAGTCAGAGATTCCGCCTAGGTTTTCTGCATTGCTTCAGATTTCTTCTTTTAGTAGGTCAAGTCAGACCTTCCATGCTAATGTAAGAAACATATTCTTTTCCTCTTAGTTTGTTTATCAGAATCTAAAAAGGTGGTGAAAGCCTATTTTTCAGTCTATCATTTGTAAAAGCTGTTCATTTTCAATTAAATATGCTCTAAAGATGATCTAAAAATTGAAATGACAGGTAAGTCAATTACAAAATTAAGAAAAATATTTTATATTTCATGTGTTTGTTGATTTTGAAGAATAGCTTTGGACAATGATTTAGGGAATCTAAAATGCCAGATAATAAAAATTTTGGGTTGTACTAAGTTCAGGATCACTAGAACAAAACATAAATGTTACTAGTAGAAATGAAACTAAATATATATACATGACCTAAAAGTTCCAAAAAGCCCCAAAGTAACTGCAGGCAGTACAAATTATAATAATATTCACGTGGTTAAAATATCAGCTGGAATAGGGAGTTAACAACAAAATTTTACAGTTTCTAGGAGAGCATTCCAGGATAGGTCCATTTGCCCAACATCCAAACCAAACTGAAAAAAACAAACAAAACCACCACCAGAGGAAAACATTTTTGAAGGCCTCTTCAGTTGGAGAGAGCAATAAGTGATGATTTCTACGATTGGAGTGATACAGTCATGCTATAAGTTCAGCTTCCTGAGTGGTTCCAGAGAACAAGCCAGCGGAGAGTATATCAGGGAATGTGAAGGTCAACTGGGCAGCCACTGAGTCATGGAAATCAACTTCATGTGTTTCGGACAAGCCTCCATGCTAACAAAACCCCAAGCACCCCAAGGAGGTATTTGTATCCTTTTCACAGCTGAGACCAGCAGTCAAGGAAAATATTAAAATTCACCTGAACTAATCCCTTCATTTATTCAACCTCATGTGGTAAAAAGTGATAAAAATAATCAAACATTTATTTTAAAAATGCCTATGTAGCTAATGGTCCTCTCTGAAAGAAGCAGTTGGTAAGACCACATTTTAGAAAGGAAAAACCTTACCCTCCCATTGAAACCCCTGCTGCGAGGAAAGGAGCAGAAGGGTACAGACTGTGTACGTGGTGAATGACTGTCTCCAAATCTTCAGTGTTAGCGCAACAGTAAGTCCTTGGCGTCTGTAAGCAGTGACGGGTAAAGCACAACATTTTAAATTGTGAGGTTCATGATTTCAATAATACAGAAATGTAAAAAAGAGCAAGAAGTCATAAATATGGGGAAATAACCTTTGTTTGCATATACTATGAATAATACAAATTTATAATTTCCTTATCTTGCAGTTCACATATATGTTAAAGTCAATGCTATTCAGCCCTGGCCCATTTGGCTCAGCAGTTGGAGTATCAGCCCTCGGATGAAGAGTTAAAGGTTCAATTCCTGGTCAAAGGCTCGTACCTTGGTGGCAGGTTCGATCCACGACCCCAGGGTCATGCGGAGGGGACCCTCTCTCTCTCACCCTTCTCCCCCTCCCACTCTATCTAAAAATCAATGGAAAATTATTTTTGGGTGAGGATTAAAAAATAAACAAGTAAAGTCAATGCTATTCAAGTTGGCACTAATAAAAAAGACTTTGATCATGCAAGGAGGGCTTCACAGAAGTGCACAAGACCAATACAAATATCTTAAATCAAACAGATACACAGTACCCTAGTCAAATGTGTCTCTGACTAAACAAGAGTCAATTTAGGAAGAAAAAGTGGAAGATTACACTTCTTTATAGGGGAAAAAAAACCCACTTATTCCTGACAAAGTAATTCTTTATTTAAAAAAATAATAATAAAGCAAACAAACAAAAGCAGCTTTCTAATAATGTCACAAAAATATTAATTTGTGGCTCATTTGTAACTGGAGAACTGTTTTTTTCTATCTTGAGTACTGTCTACCAATGAAGGAGTGTGGTTTTTTTAACACTGCCTTCACTCTAGATAAAGCAACATCCAGTCTGATATATTAATTAAATATTGTCTTTTACAATAATATATACATATAGTCCCAGCTGTACTACGCTGAAACAGACACTTAAAATGGTAAAATATGTAAAGCTGATTATGCTTCAATACATAATGCATTTAAACAAAAGGTTTTCATGTGAATGTCATTAATGAAGGCTCTGTTTCTAGTAGAAAAGCTTCACGGTTGCATTATTTGAGATGTGGGAGGAAAGCACAGTCTTGTCTATAGAATATGTGCAACTGTGTGTATGAATAAAGTTTATGTGAGATAAATTTTAATAACAAGAAGAGGAATCTGGTAACATTACTCTAATAAAATTATTGAAACCAGTTAACTGCACCAAGATGAATATGATATTCCAATAAACCATGATCACAACATGAAGGTATGTCACCCACCATTGAATCACTAATGAGTAATCTAAGAAAATTACAATTTTCAATGATTCTTCCAATGAAACTCAAGACTAAAACACTACCTATTGACTACTGTCATCTTTTTGAGATCTGCAAATATCCTTTGGAACTCTCCAAAGATAAATGACAGCATTTACAATGGCAAAATCATAAGGGAGATTTTATCATCATGTTTATTTTATAGGGAGGAACCTGAGTTTAGAGAGGTTAAATAACTTCTGTAACACCTGAACAGCTAAGCTGACATGCTTTAAAAAAATACTTGGTGATTAAATGCATTTGAGTGACACAAATTCAATGTAAAATCTAAACAGAACAATATCAAATACCATGCTCATTCATAGTGACTACAGAATTTGCCACAAAAATTCAGGTGAAAAAATAGCATCCTTATGTGGTATTTTTATTACAGGTAAGTTTCTTTACACTGAATAGCTTTATTTATTTTTCCTTTTAAATAAGAACAATTTTATTTTTTATTGTTTGGTTTTTAATCCTCACCTGAGGACATTTTTGCATTTATCTTCAGATAAAGTGGGAGGGAGAGAGAGATGAAGAGAGGGAGAGAAACATCGATGTGAGAGAGACACATCAAGTGGTTGCCACCCACACGACCCCAACCAGGGCCAGGGACAAACTGCAACTGAAGTACATGCCCTTAGCGAGAACCGAACCTGGGACTCTCTGGTCCGTGGGGTGATGCTCTAACTGCTGAGCCAAACCGGCCAGGGCAGAACAATTTTATTTTAGATAATCATACCTTTTCTGCCTAAATTCACAATGATATAAGAAAATCAAATCTACATAGACAAACAATGCATAAATGTCAACCAAAGTTCCCATACAGCTTCACACGCACACACACATCCCTATACTCCTTAATCTGAGTATTAGATTTCTAAACAGAATCTGAGCTCAAAAGAATTCCTGAAGACATTTATTTAAAAAAAACAAAAACAAAAAAACCTCTAATTTTCTTGCTGAGAAACAGTCTAGGTAGGGTGATATATCAAGCTCATTAAAAAAAATAATGATAGAAGGGGGTGTTTAAAAAAACGTTTTCTTGAGGATTCTATTAGTACTATGTGGCAATCTAAAAACAAAATAGGTCAATCTGTAATCTACAGAGATCTCCAAGAGAGCCTGCTGGCCTGGGCAGTGAGATGAGAGGGAAGAAAAGAAAGGAGGAGGTAGAGATGGATGCGTGAGAAGGGAGGAGGATGTGATAGGGTAAGTAGCTGAGATGAGTTCTTAGAGGACAAGGAAAGATAAAGAAACGCAGAGAATGAGTAATACTGAGAGTTTGGGTTATTGTTAAGGAGAGAACATTGTCAGTAGAAATAAAACACTGCATAGCTTTAACATTTCTGAATTATGAACAAGTGAAGTATGTGTGCACATGTATGTACACACACACACACACACACACACACACACACACACACACACAACCACAAAAAAAGTGATTTAAGAAAAATTATTAGAGCCCTGGCTAGTTTGGCTCAGCAGTTAGAGTGTCGGCCTGTGGACCAGAGAGTCCCGGGTTTGGTTCCCACTAAGGGCACGTACCTCTGTTGCAGTTTGTCCCCTGCTCCAGTTGGGGTCATGTGGGTGGCAACCACTCTATGTGTCTCTCTCACATCAATGATTCTCTTTCTTCCTCCCTCTCTCCCTCCTGCTCTATCTGAAGATAAATGCAAAAATGTCCTCAGGTGAGGATAAAAGAAAAAAAAGAAAGAAAAATTATTAGGATTAGTAAATCGTAGTGGCAGGAAGGACCATAGATAGCACCTGGTTTTCTTTTATTTTGTTTTATCCTCACCCGAGGATATTTTTCCATTTTTTGTACAGATAGAGTGGGAGGGAGAGAGAGGAAGGGAGAGAGAGAGAGAGAAACATTGATGTGAAGAGACACATCGAGTGGCTGCTACCCGCACGACCAACCAGGGCTGGGGATAAACTGCAACCGAAGTACGTGCCCTTAGCGGGAACTGAACCCGGGTCTCTCCGGACCGCAGGCCGACGCTCTAACCGCTGAGCCAAACCGGCCAGGGCGCACCTGGTTTTCTTATTCACACTTGATAAAATTGAGGCTCAGCAAGGTTAAGCAATTTGCCAAAGGTCGCCAAGTAGCAGAGCCTGGGTTGTATGTAATAAATAAACTAATTCTTATAAAGCACTGGGATTTCATGACATGTTTAATAAAAAAATTAATACCCTCAGATATAGGAACTTATTTTTCCCTAAATGTTTTTCTCCAAATAGATATTAAGATTGAAGCTGATAATACTGGTATTGCTCAAATATGCCAGAACGCTGAAATTCAGCAAATCCAGAGCCTGTCCAGCATGATCTATTTCCTGCTGGCTGCTCCCTTGGCTTCCATGATGGCACTGTCCTGTTTTCCTCCTGCTGCTGGCTTTCAATTTCCTGCCCAGTTCCTGTCATTCTTCACAGGAATGTGGGTATTCATTTCCAAAAGTTTTGCCTTACGCCTGCATCTTCTTCTCTGGTTAATACCTGAAGGTCTTACCTACCTCCATAACTTCATCAAACCACCCCTATGCAGTGACTAAACCTAATTCTCCATTCTCTTTTCTTCATCCTGTGCTCCAGATCTACATTCTCAAGTTCTACCAGCCTTCACTATAATGTTCTTTCAGTACTTCAAACTCAAAATGCTCAAGAGTAAACCCTTTTCTTTTCATGAAGACTCCTAATACTTCTCCTAACTTCCCATTTTTCTATAAGTGACTCCTATATTTTCCTATTTAAAACTGTAGGTGACATTGCCTTCTCTCTTTCCCTGACCCTCCCAGCCAATAAACTGCCAAGTCCGGTGGCTTCTTTATTCTCAGTATCTCTTACAGAAAACACAGGAGAACCCTTCTTTCAAGTCTAGTAAAGTCTTGGTATGTTAGATTCTCTCAGAAGGGCCTCTGATAGTAAGAATGTGAACACAAGCAATTCATTTGGAAGGCGATACCAGGAAGCACCAGTAGGGGAGTAGTGACTTGCGTCAGGAAGGGTAGGAAGTCAATTAAAAATATGTTATGAGTAGTTTGTGGCTATGGGCAACTGGGACTCAATCCTCTTGGGGCAATTTGTTGTCAACTGACTATGTTGAATATGGCTCAAAATGATCCCAACCAAGTAAGTTACCTTCAGCCATTGGTTGAAGGCTGTTTCTGGAGGAAGTTAACTCCTTGGCCCTTCTGGTCTGCCCTGAGCACAGGTCCAGAAGGCTCCAGTGGCTAGAGATGGCCCCCAGTTAAAGAGATGTGAGTGCCTGCATTTGGAAGCAATAGGTCGTCGTTGTACATAGGAATGGCAAGGGCCAGGGGGTAGGGGTGCGGCAAGGATATGGCACCAACTATTTCTGCTACTAGGCTTTTTATCTCTTACCTGGACTGCTGTGATAACTTCTTAACCGGTTAACTCCCAGCCTTTCTAGATACCCATCTAAAATCCTACTCACTTTCAAATTAATCCTTCCAAAGAACACTTACATCTTTAATTATCACAGTCTTTCGGCTTAAAATTCTTCATTAGCTTTCCATTGCTGACTGAGTTAAGGACAAATTCCTCTGCCGAGTGTTCAAGACTTGAACAATATGCAAGCAATCTTTCCACTTCTGTATTTTACTATTTCTCCCTACGTATGGATTCAGATCAATGAGACACAGCTGTTCTTCTGACTACTAGAGTTCTTAATCTTCTTGCCACCTATGTAAACTTCATCTGACAAT